AACAACTAGCTGTGGCATGCTTTATTTCTGCCAAAAAGTTATTATTTATGGTGTTTTTCATGTTTTTCTGTTCAACGTCGACCCACGTTTAGGAACGAAAATCGAACGAATCGAGTTGAAAATTTTTCAAGGAAATAACTAAGCAAACATTTTCAACTGGATTCTTTCGATTTTCATTCCTATACGTGGGTCTATCTTGAACGGAAAAAAGTGAATAACTACATAAATAATAACTTTTTGGCAGAAATAAAGCATGCCACAGCTAGTTGTTATCATTTATTAATTAAGTATCTATATCAGATAACATTTACTGGTGAATTAAGCAAAAATTTTGTCCTAATGTTCGATTTTAGTTCCCAAAAATAACCCATGTATAGCTACCTGTCGATTGTTTTTGGGAACCGAAATCGAACTTCTGCCAATTAGTTTTGCTGTATTCATCGATAAATGATAACTGATGATGTAGATTAACCAATAATTGATATAAAGAGCTCCCGCTTGCTTTATTTTTGCCAAAAAATTATTATTTATGGTATTTTTTACGTTTTTTCGGTTAAAATCCACCCACGTATATGAACTAAAATCGAACTTTCGCAGACATTCTTTGCTTAATTCATCAATAAATGATATCTTATATCGTAAATTAAGCAAAAAACCTCTGTAGAAGTACGATTTTCATACCTACTCATGGGTCGATTTTAACCGAAAGAAAAAGGCAAGAACCAATAAAATTTCATAATCTGATAAAAATAAAGCAAATAAGTGTGCCTTTAGATCGTTTTTTTGATAAAGTAGCGACTTATAGTCAAAAACAATTCAAAGGTAGCTAGCTAAATTTTGGTGAAGGTGCCAGACACGATAAGAAATCTAGCAAAATTTTGAAAATCGGAAATTTGTATTAGGAGAGCATAAGATGCTTGGGAAATCTGATAATTTGCCGCGCAAATTTTAGTGTTATTATTATTGCCGTTTAGTAGCTACCTGATAGACATCTGTAATATAGTTGAAACCTGTAAACTAGATACAATAATATTTAACTATGGACCGAGAGATGTCCGTCCAGGTACCTGAGATACGAAGGACATACTATAATTCTTTAAGTGTAATATAAGGGATAATCGAAAAGTTTTAACAGAAAATTCTCAAAATTAATTTACCGTGTTCATTTTCCGTATAAATGGGTATTTACAATGTTTTTTACTTTTTTTCTGTTAAAATCCACCCACGTATATGAATCTAAATCGAACTTTTGTTGAAATTTTTGTGTAATTCATCAATAAATCACATCCAATATCAATGATTAATCAATAAATGATCTAAATAGGCTCTCGTTTGTTTTATTTTTGCCAAATTATCAAATTTTATGTTTTCGACCCATGTATTGTTAATGATAAGAAATAAACGTTTAAATAAAAAGAAGTCAATTAAAGTTATTATCTATTATAACTTTTACACTCAATTTGTAATTTATAACAACTATAATTAAATTAAAATTGAGTACAAATTAATAATTGTTACTGTTAATAGTGTACATTTACTTTAAAATAAATTTAAACATAAATTAATAAGTATTACCTTATAAATAACAAACTTAAAAACATATGCGCACATAAGTACAAAATTAATCTCAAAACTAACATTAAGTTACATACCGTTTTCTCTAACTTTTAAAAGAAAAAAACAATTACAGTAATCAATTTTATATAGTAAAAATTCATTTGAAGGAACACTAAAATTATTAACAGCACATATATGAAATTTTAAGGGAAAATCTCAACCTTGATGCATATTTGTTCTACCTCACTTGTCTCAAGAGATTTAGGAATATCCCCTTGCTCATTATCTGATTGAAGTCCTTCCGTTGAACGTTTTTCAGTCCTTTTCAATAATCTACTCAAAGCGTGGCGTTGACGATCAGTTGCCAAACGTATACTCCTTTCAAATTCGGACTCCTGTACTCTTTTTAGAGCTTGCCTTTCACGATCCCTTATTAGACGTGCTTCTCTATCTGAAGGGGACTCTTGGGATCTTCTCATAGCACTACGTACGCGATCTTTACTCAGTCGAATTTCTCTGGCAGTGTCTGACTCTGCAAGTCTTTTTTTCTTCTGGTATTCACGGGCACGACTTAGACGCAATACACGTTGTTCAGGAGTTTCATTGGCTCTATGACTGGCTTGTCTTAAACGCTGGCTAAGCAGCCTTTTCTGGACATCTGTCTTACTCTCCAATGCTCTAGAAAGCCCACTTTGCTTTGCTGTAGACGTTACTTTGCCTATATTACTTCTTTTATGTGGTGGCATTTTTTACACCATTTTGGAAAAAGGAAATGCTGTAAATAAGATGAGAAAGCAATTAGCTACATAACTAACTAAGAGAAGTAACAGTAATTAGATTAATGATTTTAACTTTTTACCCTTCAATTCCTAATGGTTAAAAAAATGGTACAAATACCGAAGGGACAAATTAATCTATAAAATAATTAAACAATAATTTAAACTCACCATTCCAAAGGATTGACAGGTCTCTAAGTATTTTTTTAAGGTTTCCTAAGGCTAGAAGTCCATTTTAACTTGATAGCTCCACAACACAACAACATCAATTATAGTTACACATGGAAGATAGTAACTGAAACAATAACAATATAATGTAAATACGATTTACAATTTATTTTACAATCATTTGTACTAATTTTTATTGAAATTAATCTTTATTGACGTTTATATTTACGAAAATAGTGGCCATTTTTGTTACTAAAATCTGAAATCATGCTTGTATACGAATTATACGAAATTCACTAAAATTAATTGGAACAATAAAATTCCCTAGTAATTATTGATAAACAGCTGGGTGACATTTGTATTGGTACAGTACCCTTTGGTAATTTACACAATTACATGCAGATTTCGTGTAAAAAAATCCAAAAAAATGTACAAGAAATCTCTGCCATTAAGAGACTTAAGGACATGCACATAAAAATATAAGTTTACTACGTGAGTAATAGTGTTTGCGATAATTGCGAGTGCGCATCCCTTTGATGATTAAAAAAGGACCTCTAAAAGCATTTATATAAACAAGGGAACGTATAAATTAAAAATTTAACTGTTTTAGTACAATAAAAATGGCAATTGATACTGGAGAAACACAAATTAGGTCTAAACGACCTTCAGGTAATTAAAGACAGACTATTCTAACAAGGATAGTGACCAACCCCAAATTATTGATTAAATTGATTTACATTTTTTATAAAATAACTCTTCTTTAGATAGTGCATTTAAACAACAACGATTACCAGCATGGCAACCCATTTTAACTGCAGGAACTGTTCTACCCACATTCTTTGTAATTGGTATTGCATTCATACCAGTTGGAATTGGTTTATTGTACTTTTCAGACGAAGTTAAAGAGGTGGTCGTAGATTATACTAATTGCAACAGAACACACATTGGCACTGATGGTGGATATAGCATTACCACATTAAATACATGTTCAGATGCAATTTCAAAAGATAAAGGTTCTGAGTGTATATGCAACATATCATTTACACTGGAAACTGATTTTCAAGTAGAAACTTTTTCCAGGATTTTGAAAAGAATGTTAGAATTTACATTTTTCACTTTTTAGGGTAAAGTGTATCTTTATTATGGTTTAAGTAATTATTATCAAAACCACAGGCGATATGTTAAATCTAGGGATGATAAGCAATTATTAGGACGAACAAGTACCACTTTATCAAGTGATTGTTTACCATTTGCCAGTGACATTGATAGTGCTACAGGAAAAGAACTTCCAATAGCTCCTTGTGGTGCAATTGCCAATTCCCTGTTTAATGGTAGAATTAATAATTAATTATTAACTGATGGTATTAAAATAATTTTATTTGTTCTGTTTTAAGATACCCTCAAAATTTTTCGAGTATCTCAGAATGAGAGAGTGCCCGTCCCTTTGTTAAGAACTGGTATAGCATGGGACTCTGATAAAAAGATAAAATTTCAAAACCCTAATGCTCCAAAAGGATTACAAGATGCTTTTAAGGATTTTACAAAGCCAAAATATTGGCAAAAACATGTTTGGGAGCTTGATCCTGATGATCAGAATAACAATGGGTACCAAAATGAAGATCTTATTGTCTGGATGAGAACTGCAGCCTTGCCGACATTTAGAAAATTATATCGCAGAGTTGATCACAACATTTCTGGTTTTATGGATGGCCTTATGAGGGGAAAGTATGAGTTACTAGTGAATTACAGTAAGTGCTATCATTTTGAAAACTTTCCAATGAAAATCAGTACTACTTGTTACATTTCAGCTTATGATGTGAGTCATTTTGATGGGTCTAAAAGAATGATTTTGAGTACAACTTCACTTATAGGTGGAAAAAATCCATTCCTAGGAATTGCTTATATAGTTGTTGGTTGTTTATGCTTGCTATTAGGCATAACACTCCTTTTCATTCATATTAAAATGGGAAAAAGGTACCTAACTAACACAAGCAATAATTAATGCAAATATTACTTACCTAATACAATTTTTTTGCAGCACCACCGAAATAATTAACGTCACTCCTAGAACTCCGTGGACTCCACAGTAGTGAATCTAGTGATACACAAAGAAAAAAGTACTTGTTGCCTTAACAGTATTTTTGATAACTAACGTTATAAATAACAATCAACAAATTTTAAATCTCACCAAAATTTCTTAGAAATAGATAAAAAATAAAATGCTTTTTTATGAAATAGAAGATGTATGTAATCCAACGAGCTTGAAATGACGTAAAAGAAAAAACTTAGAGAAACACTGTTCAATCAATAATTATTGTTGTTATTGAATATTTATAGCTGTTCATCCTCACCACATTGTGATTTTATTATGTTACCTATTTTTAATGTATGTATTTATGTACAGTAGGTATTATTTTTACATACGTTGTTTTTAATGTAATTAGTTATTTAAGAAATAAATTATTATTGCACTAAATTCTAAATTTGTAATTTATAAAACAGTTATTAATAATAGTTTATATTATAAATAAATCCAGCACTGTTATAGTTAAAATAATACTGCTCTAGGAAGAGGAGAATGTGAACTTATTTAATAATACCGAATTATTCTTCATATAATTATTTATTCCAAAAGATTTTTTCCAACTTTCACATTCTTTCTGTGGTGTTAATTATTTGAAAATGTGAAGTAGCTAAAAC